TAGGGCAGTCTGTGACAGAGGATAAGCATGGTAACTGAGTTGGCTGCATTTTTAATGGGATCCTTTCACTTTTTTACTCATGGAGATTTAGTTCAACAACAGGACTTTATGCATTACTGTGTATTAGGGATATCAAGATGAATGACTTTGTCTTCTATGAGTAGCTTCAGTTCTGATGGGATAATAAATACACAAATAATTTTAGTATACCTTGGTAGAGACTTTAAAGAAACTATGCACAAAATTCCATAGAACAGCAACCACCTATCTAAGTATAGAAGTATAGAGAATGCATTTTGAAGATGACATCTAATTTAAGAATAAAAATATGAGTAGTTTTTTATTTTTTTCTTCATTGCTTTCAAGTTGAAACCAGCTCCTAACTGACGTTCTCGCGGGATTTTGGGAGGCTATCAACTGCTCTGGAGGCAGCTGCTTAGCTTTCTTCCAAGGAGCCAGTAATAGATTTGAACCGCCAGAGAGGCCTTTTGCTTAGCAGCACAACTCCTTACGGACTTTGTTACCAGAGCTCCTCGAATTAGCCTTCTGAAAAACAGTAGTGATGGGTATGTTGAATAGACAAGGGCAGTCAAACAAAAGGAGTAATATGAAGAAACGTATAGACAAACTGGTAATAGTGAATGGAAAGATGTCCTAGTGGTGCAATGGTTGAGATCTTTGCTGCTAACAGAAAGGTCAACAGTTAAAACTTGCTAGCTGCTCCATGGAGGGTGTGTGTGTGGCAGTCTACTCCTATAAAGAATACAGCCTTGGAAACTGTGTGGAACAGTTCTCTTCCTTTAGGGTCACTGTGCATCAGAAGGGACACGGCAGCAATAGGTTTGATTTTATTGTGACTGGTGAGATTGGAGAGGTGGACTGGGTCTAATCCTGAAAGGCTTGATGTCTTATGTAAGGTATTTGGAGTTTTCTTATAGCTAAGGAGAGGGCTGTAGGCAGTTATTAACAGGAACGTGATGTGGTGATCATTTTTTAATTTTAGATAGCACTGAACTGGATATGGGTAAATGAATTAGCTGAGTTAAGATTGGTGGTAGGGAGAGTTCTTAAACTTAAAATAGTATAAAATGAAACCCGATCTACTGCTGCTGAGTTGATTCCGACTCGTGGTGAGCCTCTTAATGGGTTTCTGAAGCTATAAATTAAATGGGAGGAGAATGGCTTATTTTTCTACTGCAGAGTGGTGGGTGGGTTTGAACTGCCAACCTTTAGTTAGCAGCCAAACACGTAATCTACTAGGCCACCAGAACTCCTTGCAGTAGAACAGGTTATTAATAAGACATGAACAAAGGCAGTGGCAATAGAGGTAAAAAGATATAGAAGATTTAAGAAATATTTAAAAGTGGCATCAATTGTTGTTGTTATGTGCCGTCAAGTCACCTGCGACTCATAGTGACCCTATGTACAACAGCCCTAAACTCCGCTCTGTCCTGTGCCAATCGCACTGTCTCTGACACTCCCATCCCAATTATCCC